GTAAACCAACAACACAAAAACTAAAACCTAAACCGCACTACCCCAAACACAAGAAAGTATTGTCTAGCCGCCCAGTTCTCTCCTGATTCTGGCTCCCCGAGCCCTTCTCAGGCACAGCTGTTGGCTGCCACTTCCAGCTGTTAGTCTTGTAGTCCCAGACATAGTTATCCCAGCTCCTGTCGTCATAGCCCTCCCAGCTGTTGTCCTTGTCCTTTTCGGGACCATCGGTAGAAGAGCCTGGGGCTGCTGGGATAGAAGCATCTGGGTCTGCTGCTGCTGGGCCATCGGTGGGAGCACTTGGATCTGCTGCCGTGGGAGCACCTGGATCTGCTGCCGGCGGGCCATCGGTGGAAGCTCGTGGAGCTGCTTCTGCTGGGACACCTGCAGGAGAAGCACTTTGTGCTGGTGTGCCAGCTGTTGAAGCACTTGGTGCTGGTGCAGCGGCTGGAAGTGGAGGCGGCGGCGGGGGCGGCGGATAGTCTCCGAGCCATTGGCCAGGCGGGAGTGTTCTTTGCTGCTTCCGCAAACTAACAATCTCGTCCTCGAGCTTCCGCTTCTTCAGGTCCCCCATCCACGAATACCACTGGTCGCCCGTTCTGAGCTTCAAGTTCACACTCGGCTGCTCATCGTCAGGAGGGCAGTGTACGGTGCCGGACATTTCCGGTGCCATCTGCCCAATGAACTCGGCCACCCCGAAGGAGCAAAACACCTCCACATTCTCCCACCATTGAGGTGGCACTGTATCCAGCACAACTCTGTCAGAGCAGTAGAAGGTGCTGTATCTCTTGGAGTACCATATGAATGCATTCTTCGCATTGTCATAGTTCTTCCAGATTCTGCAGCCGTTGGCATGGATATCGCCTGGGTGGTAAAAGCCACGGGCTGCTTCGAAGCACCTGTTCCTGGGCACATATTACCAACAACCCAAAAGCTCCATGTTTAACACGGCTTCTGCTACTATATCCCAACCTATAAATGAAAGCCCGAAGGCTGGTGAAAATCAAAGGCCCAAGTCCAAGCCCGAGCATCTCAGCATCGGTCCAAGTGGACTCTGTATACTCCACCAGATCCAGCACCAGGGTTCCGCTGTACCAGAACCAAGGCTTGGCAGTCATCTCCATGAGCTCTCGGTGCAACTGTGCATTCGCATCGATGCAACTCTGCACATACGAGCTCATGGGCATGGGCTCCGGAGCTGCAGCATCAGCTGCCACTGCACTGGGAAAAGGAGCAGCGGCACTGGCCTTAGGTGTATGCTGCAGGGCGGTTTCCGAAGCCATGGCTGACATGGCTGGATCGCAAGCTCTATGAGCTGTTATATTTCGGGACATCCAATGCCATCGGCAGCTCGCTCATCCATACTATATAATGAAGACTTCCAGTGCATATGAAATGCAACATGCACCACCATGCAGAGCTACACACAAAGACTTCAAGTCTTGGAAATGCAAGTCCCGCGGCGGCCATGCATGATTGACTGCACATGCACATACAAAAAAACATGAAGTCCAAAGCCCAGTGGGCTGATCCATGCTGCCTGCAAAGAAATATATGAAGTCGAAAGCCCACTGGGCTGATCCATGCAAACTCAAACTTAAAGCCCCGTGGGCTGATCCATGCAAAGTCAAATCAAAAGCCCACTGGGCTTTTTTATTCATGATGCATATGAAATTTTCCTAAAATCTCGCTCAAAGAAACAAACAAGTGCACGGAGCATTTCCCCGACCCCTGCATGCATGCATCGGATCTATGCATGCATCTGCTAGAAAGCAAATTTGCTGCGAGTGGCTATATATACAATCTATGTACAGCTGCTATTTGGAATCGTCGTCGCTCGACAATAGGTTAATATCCTGAATCGGGTTCTGTTGAGATTCCTCATTATCGTCCTCATCGTCATCGTCACGTTGCAAAGCATGCTTGTTCTTGGCATACTTCCCGGTCTTCCTGTAGGGCCTGGAGGGGTCATCAAAAGCGAGTCGCTTGTGTTTGATCCAGCCAAAGAGCTTGTGCAACGAAGCTTCGTCCATGAGAACTTGAAGGTCGCTAGTCACCTTCTCTGCAGCTCGCACAACTATCGTGCCGAAGTCGTCCGGGAGCTGGATGTCCACCTGCATGACCTCGACATTGTTGTGCACCTGTCGCCTTTTCTTTTTAGGCTGATCTGCGGGTTCGGCATCGCCGCCGAAGAGTTTGTCTTCTTCCGGCACCAAGCCTACCAGCTTGTTTCGTTGTTCAATGACATAAGTCAAACCCTCTGCTCCTTTCAAGGATGGGTTTCTGGAAGCATAAGAGCATCCCAGAAGCAAGCACAGCCCGTAATTGCTGGAGCGGATCTGAAGCCACTTTTGGCCCTTGTCATCCTGGTGAACCAAGCTGGAAGGGACAACCCACTTCTTGCCGGTATCGTCGTATTTGATGACATGCCTCGTGGACATGGACACCGACATGGCAGACTATATATGCCTGTTGCACATTCACAAACCTGCAGGACTCACAGCTGCAGAGAACGATGAATTTGCATGCAACCCACAACATGCAGCGGCATAATGCAGGCAGCACTCAAAAAAAACATGCTCGGTGCAGCAGAGGATTATGTACTTTTCTCGGACACGGGAGTATAGCCAAGCCGGGTGTGGTTCTCAAGCCAATGGCTTCCAAAAGTTTTAGTTGCCGGCAAGCCGATGGCTTCAAAATGCAACTGGACACAAATAGGCCAAATGCTGTCCATGGGACAGTGTCTCAAACTCAGGCTTTCTTAGGCTTTTTGCTGGGGGGCTCAGACTTCTTGCCAGCAGATTTCTTCTGATTCGCCTTGATGTTCGATGCCTCGGGCTCCGCCTCCTCTGCTTGGGGGCAAGTGAGCAAGGTTCCTTCATCCAAGCTCTCGCTGTTGACCAAGCACCAAGCAGTGATGCCACCATGACTTTTCTCCTCCCAGGTCATGCACGGCTCTTTCACGGGATCCAACCACCAGTATGGCGCAATGCAGCCTGAAACCTTGTTATCCTCGGAGGTCTTGAACATGGCTGGGGGGAGGATGTAGTAATCGGCCTCTTTGTACCTGATCTGTCCCATCTTCTTCTTCTTGTCAGCGGGTGCCTTCGTGGTGATCTTGCTGATGGCATCCGTTGAAGGGAAGAGGCACAACTCGCCGGCAGGGATCTTCTTCAAGGCATAAGCCTTCCGGCTGCTGTTAACCACACCGATCAAGCTCCAAATGTTCTTGGGCTGAAGCTTTGGGCATACTTTCAGCATGGTCAACCACACTTCAGCCATAAGGGCCTCTGTACTGCAACTCGCATGCGGCTCTCTGGAGGCAGCCAATGCCCTGTCGGTGAACACAGGTGCAGGAAGCTTGGAAATTCGCAAGTGTTTCCAACACTGGCTGGTCTCGATGGTCACCTCCTCGCTCTGGAACAAGTCAAGAAGCTCCAGCACGAGCTGGTTGCTGTCTGCTTCTCGAAGCTTCCAGAGCTTGTTCTGGTAGGTGTAGTGCTTCCCGACGGCAATCTCAATCTTCTGTTTGGCCAAGAACAAAGCATCGTATGCTTCTCCCAGCGAAACCAATCCCGCTTGTTGGGCTGCCCCACCCGCAGTGGACGACGAAGATGACAAAGCAGTCTGCTGTGCAGCAGCTGCAGCAGCAGGAGCTGCAGCAGCAGGAGCTGCAGCGGCCAAGTTGATGTTTCCAAGCTGCACCTCAAAGGCCTCAAAGATCTCGTCCATGCTCTCGAACACTTTCGTCTCCCTGCCCATCTTCTCCTTCTGCAAGACGTGCATGCAGCATCGAATCAAGCGCATGCCAAAAGCCCTGATGGCTGCCAGGTCCGAAAAGCTTGCTTCAACCTTCTGGTAAGCCTGAAAGAGCTTCTGGTCCATATCCAAGATCTGCTTCTGCAGTTTGTTGCCCTTCAACTTGTCCCAGTCCGATCGGGTTAAGAGCCGAGCATATCCGTCCTGGATCTTGTTCTTTGGCGCCGTGAAATTGGTTGCGAGCATTGCCAGCCTCAGCAGAGGCACTTCAGCAAACATGTTGCCAGCAGCCATGACCCAAAACTCCTCCCCAACATTGTAGTTGTCCCCGAACTCCTTCGTGAAGATCCCTAGAAACTTGGCGAAGTCGCCTTTGTTGCTGTAGGACCCAAGCCACTTGGCTATGCTGGAGGAGTAGTTCTTCACGGGGCCGGCATGACAAGCTTCAGCTGCCAAAGCCTTGAAGTCAGGCTGCTGCATGCCTGAGGCGAGATCCAGGATGTGCAAGGCCAGTTCCAGCTCGGACTGAGCCTGAAAGGCTGAGTTGCTGGAGTTCAGAGCTCGCTCCGCAAGCTTTGGAAGATCCGGATAGCATTCTTCGACTGCCCAAGAGACGATGACCCAGGACCAGCCGTGCAACATCACCTCCCGGAGGACAGGGTCCTTCCCGCACAGCACCTCCTTGCTCAAGAAACCGTTCGTGGCAAGCGAACCCTCGCTGGTGCGGCAGCCAGCCCAAAGGGCTTTGAGGAACTGTGTCGTATGTCCTGAGCTGACCGAGAGGTATCTCTCCGTGCCGTTCACCGGGGCTAGCAAGCCGCCAGCTTGTTCGACCTGTTTCTGATTGAAGGCGACCTGTCTCGCCCGAAGATCGGGATTCTCAGAAAGCTGGAAGCCTAGGTGCATGGGAACATGCATGCATGGTGACACTCACAGAACTGGTATAGTTTCCTACACACAAAGTTCTTCAGATCATCTCAGCAGCAACAGCTGGAGTGGAGGTAGGACTTGTCAAAGCCCGCCTTCAAGATGCCGGCTGCTTTCGAATGGCAATTGTGGCCATTCACACCTAAAGCGGACCGGTTCAATTGATGAACCAGTAGCATACTGGGCTCCAAGGTGGCTTTCCAGGCAAGGCTTTCCTTCAGAAGCAAGTCGAGAACGGCCTTCCACTGGGTAACCGGGGGCATCTCCTTTGCAAGGATCTCGTCCATCTCTTGTTTCACATATGGAGACACTTGCATGCTTGCAGGACAAAGAAATCCTAAGCACTTCGTGCGAAAGGAAAGCTATATATACAAAGCCGAAGCTTGCGGGCAAGAGCAATTCATGCAATCTGCAACAATCTACGCATGTGCAATCAAAAATCACAAAAGCCAACGGCTGATTGGAATTCCCACTTTCGAAAGCCGAGGGCTTATCATTTCTGCAAACTAAAGCCGGCCGGCTAATCAGAAAGTCTCATGAGTTACAGCTTGTCATTTGTGCCATCAGAGGAAGCTTTGAGCTGATCAACAAAATCTAGAAGCCCAATGGCTGCTCATTTCTCTGCAGAAAGCCTCTGGGGCTGATCGATAAAGTTCCATGATTCAATTTCAAAACCAAAGATTTCAGCAAAGTGAACTGGCAAAATCCAGTATTTTGTCGACCTCTAACCACTTAGCATCACTTAGCTATGTGGTTGCGAAATATGTGCATAAGTGGTTATATAAAAGGCTAACTGGTTAAGCGGGTTTGCTTAAGCGGTTAGCTAAGTCATTATATGTGCCACCTGAACATGTATAACATTTAATATCTTTTGTAAAAGATAGGATGGATTAATAACCGAATGATAAGTAGCACCAAAAGTTCTTAACCCATGCATGTGGTTATAACATGTTACCACGACATGTAATGGTTTACAGTCACATAGAACGACTTGCTACACAACTTGCAGTGCTTTGCTAGAACTTAGCAAGTGCTTATCATATGGATATAGTAGTGTTATCTAGAAGCAAGCCCACGGGCCATCCAAGTACGGACGTGCCTACCATGCAATGGTTCGGAAACGCTACGCTTATACGTCGCTTGGTGTTGTTGCGATTCTCAGCTGACGTTGTAAAGCTGTGACCGTGGCCTACGCCTACAGTGCTATGACCATGGCCTGCACCTACAGTACTGTGACTGCGACTTGTTGCCGCTGCATCATCTGTCGCTGCTGCGTCTCGGGGTGATCCGCTCACAGACTCTGGGTGAGCTAATGCGGCAGCGGCGGCAGACCTAAATATAGGAACTGGCGGCGAGGGGATTTGGAAGGTCTTTATGAGACGGGGTTGTTTAACCTGGGTCAAGCCTTCTGTTATGTTTATGCATAACAGCCCTGAGTCATGTGTCCGACACAGCTTGATCCTAATGATGGTATCCTCTGAAGGAAGTCGAACACCACACACACCAAACCGTAAATCTTTGGTTATACCAAGCTGGGCCTGCGCATAAAGGGACAAGAGGAGAGGGGCTGTACCCTTAATCTCATGCGAATCAAGGACGCCCGGAACTCTCAAGTCCTGCTCCAATCCCATTATAGAGAAAGGTATGGTCCTGCTACCCAAGGTCTCGGTAGCGCCGCTAAGACCCTTGAAGGTACGGTTGCCCTCAGGTTTAAATCTCGTGCTGTAACCGAAGTTCGCAAGTTTCCCCGCCGCGTTTGCTATCCAATCGCTACCGTGAACAGTCGAGTTGCAGCCCTCGTCTAACACGGCGTATACGTGCTTATCCTCGTAGATATTTACTACGGGCAAATCAACCAAAGCCGGATGGATATCTGTGACCCCCTCGGTAAAAGCCACGAAGGCGTGCCTCGTCGCGGAGGCCCTCGAAGAGCGCGATCTCGCCGACGCCACTTCCCAACTGTTGTTGGTCGATGGCGCTGAGTGATCGTCTAAGGCCTCTTGCAGGTATGCGAGAAGGTCACCGCGGGATATCACGGGCTCGGTTACAAAGTGACCCTCTATGGTCTCTTGAAACTGGGCAATAGCCGGAACTACTACCTCTACGGGGAGGCTATCCCCCGTGCTGCCGACTATGCTGCGCAGAAGATCGAAGTCCAGGGTGTTGGACTCCCGCAGCACTGTGGCTGCGTCATCCCTAGCCTTTCGCTCGGTCTGCGGCTGCTCATCTAGAAGCATCCCACAAAGCTTGCACTTAATGCGGGAGGTCTTCCTGCTGCTACCCGACCTCTCGGTGGAGGTGTGGGGGCATGTGGCCTGATCTATAACAGGCTTCTCTTTCTTTGTCTTGGTGACGGTGCCGCATTTCTTACAGGTCCGCATGTCTATGTATGCGTTACTCCCCGACTTGTTGAACTCCTTGCAACCTCCCCGGCATTTCCGGGAGCCTTCGCTGGACGAAGCAGCTGACGCAGCGAGGCGAACCTCGGGCTGGAAGGGTTCAGGCGGGGGTTCCTGGCTGAGAGGGATATCCCTTCTCGTGATGCTGATGGGGTTATCATCACGCACATCAAAGTACTCCGTGACCCAATCCAAGAAATCGGCCAAATTTATGGATGGGCACTTCTGCGTGCGTCCCCAAAGAACATACCCAGGAAACGTATACAAGACACGCTCATAAGTCAGACCCTTATGTTGGCCAAAGGAGAAAACACGATCGGAACCCTCAGGCGGGCTGTCACGCATGATCCTAGCGGCGGCTGTGCGCCGAAGCTGTGGTGAGAAGAGGGTTTCACTGCCGCGGCCTTTACCGGTATTGGTCTTTGAGGGAGTCAGCTCGAGGTTGGCTGGGTAACCCTCGAGCCTACCAGCGCTCGCATTCGACAGATGGACACACTCTGCGTCATCCTCCTCCACTGCGGCGAAATACGCCTGAGGCTTCGGCGCCGCCGACTTTGCGGCTGCATTGGCAGTTCCCCCAGACTGTGCTGGGGTTGCAGTGCCCTTGGGGCCATTGCCCTTACCGCTAAACTTGCAGGCAGCATCTCCGGCCCAATGGCCGATCACACCACACTTCAGGCACCTACTCTTTGCCTTAAGCTCTGCTAACTTGGCCTTGCGGTCAGCAATGGTCAGATTGCTACGCACGACCTTCCCTCCGGATTTTCCGGGGGACTTGCCCTTGTTCTTCCCCTTTCCTTTTCCTTTCGCCTGGGCAAATGCGGTCTGTGCCGCGTACGCAAGCTGAACTGACTCGGCGTAGGAATCATCCAAATCATCAATTTCAGCTTCATATGCCACCGCCGTATAGGCGTTGAGTTGCAACGCTAGGTCCTCATCATCAATCCATTCATCCGCATCGTCTCCCCCAGACGCTGTGGCCTGGTATGCTTCTTCGCCGTAGCCGTCACCGTAGCCTTCCGCGGATTCCTGTTGTTCCTGGTGACCATACTCTGCGGCACTACCATCATACCCCATATAGCCGAACTTAGGGTATTGGGGCTTAGCGTCGAAACGTCTCCAGGTCTTACCCGGGCCACTAGGGTCCTTCTGGGTAAGAAGACGTTCCTTCATGTGCACCACTGAGTGATGCTGAACAAGGACGCGTGCGTACTCATCCACGCTGTGTGCGCGGGCGGCGGTCTTGACCATTAGCTGCTCGGACCTTTCCAACCCTGAAAGCTCAACAAGGAGATTAGCCCTCATTGCTTCAGAAAGGCGGATATCGGGATCCAGCTCACGCAAGGTCGACCACCACCGCTTTCGGCGGGCTATGTAAGACAACATAGGCTCGCCAGGTTGCTTTGCAAGTGGGCCCGTCAGGAGCTGTCCCTGACGGAAGAGTTCGGACGCCTCTTCGGATTGAAGAGGGAAGGCTTGCCTCCTGATTTCTTCTATCAGGTAGTCGACGCCGTCATGGCGAAGCAGACGTTCCAGGCCGACGTCGCGAGCGATGCAAAAGGCATCTCCTCGGAGACCCTCTAGGATCTTGCTAACGCACTCGCTCATGTCGAGCGACTCGTCCTTGACGTCTTGCAAGGTGTACACCGCCGGATCTGTGTCCGGCTCTTGCTCGTCGTCGCCCGCCACTTGACTGGGGTGCGACGGTAGCGACTCCGCATCCTCTTCTTCTGCCTCGGACACGGGCTTAGTCCGTTTTGCGCTGGACGGACTGGCGGGTATACCGCTGCTCGCATCGCCCTCTGTGGGGGATGCACTGGTCCCTTGACTGGCCCTGCCACGCCACTTCCTTGGTGACTCGCTCTTGGACCTTGCTGACTCGGCAAAACGCAGGTCCTTCAGAGCTTCTCGCCGCTGCTTCTCCTTATGCTGCAGCACACGGATCTGTGTCCGGAAGCACCAATCGTGGAAGCCAGCAGCCGACCCGTCGTATATGTACGAGCCGCTTTTGGTTTCTGCAGGGCTCAGGTTCTGTGACCAGAGATTGGGCTGGTAACGCAAACCTGCCACGCTCATGGTTTCGAGGATAGAAGGGGCCGTTGCGCCGCGACTATCACTACTCTACCCAACGGACCCCGGACCTCAGGCTCAACGGGGGTGAAACACTAGTGGTTGTCCTCACAGCTCCGCTACCAGTTTGAAGCAGGAACTGGATTAGTGAGTGTCCAACCACACAACGAGCACACTTTTTGATCTGAGCCCAAGACGTCTGTCGTACAGGGTGCATTCAGAACTGAACATGAAAACTACGCTCACATGAGGACATGTCAACACGGCTCTTCAAGACAGGGAAATTTCACAAGCCGAAACCCATCTGGGTCCATATACCCTAATTCCAGAATGGTGGTGTATATGGGCTCTCTAAGCTATACTCCCCTTAGAACCATATTGAACATAACATGGTTGATATTCTCTTGGGTTTCAGATGCACAAAAAAACACTCGTAAGGAGACTACAGTAAGAAAGAGAAACCCTTCAAGATGCCAGGAGCTCAAGAAACTACCCAAGGCCTCCCACAGGCGAAATCCGACCCTGAGGCATGGAGAGTGACGGATCCTCCGTCGCCTCGTGTCAGGTAGCATAGCAAAGGCTTATAATCAGAGATTTAGGGTTTAGGGTTTCATATTTTTTAAGAAGCCCTTTACGCAAAAAAACTAAGCCTCTTTAAGCCTTTGCTTTTAGGGTTTGGGGGATGCTGTGTGGGTTGAGGGCATTGAGTTTACAGCTTGATGTGGAGCTGGAGATTCAGGCTTGAGGGTTTGACATCTGGGGCTTTAGAGTTATCTGTGCTCATTTCCTGATGAACTGCTGCTCCAAAAATCCGCACAGCCTATTCTTCTCTTCAATGGTGTCGGGGC